TATACACAAATACATACATGCATACATTCTCATACATACCTACACACATACGTACATACACATACATACGTACACGCACATATACATACACACATACATACACATACATATGTACATATGCATCCACCATAGCCAGGCTCAAAAGCGTAATTAGGATTTTCCAGGAGAGCGCTTTTGCGATGCGCCCTCACCTTTGAATTTTTCCAGAAACTAATCGTTTTGCTTAACAAGCTTCCAAAAACCCACTCTGTACACAAATCCTGATTTCGTTCAAAATATTCTAGAAGGAAGAAGAATGCCGCCCAGAAATTTTTGTGAATAAGAGCTTCAAAAAAAGTTTTTGAAAAAATGGTATTTTTGTAAAAAACAAAAATCATTGTCTCCCTGCTAATAAAGGCAGCATGAGCTAGCTTCGTGCTAGCTTCGCTGAAAACCGGTAACTGTTAAATGGCTTATTCACTTGCGACTTATTCGGTGAGTAAATTTGCCCTGAAGTGAAGTCTTATTTGCCGGGGAAAACCGTATTTTGGATGAGAACACGTTACGTTTTGAAAATGTAATAAACCGTATGTGTTTGAAACTTGTTGCACGAGATTCAAAAAACAACAGCATTATAAATGACACACACATATATTTGAACTCCGGTAAAGCAAAAATTAGATGATTACCCTCTCTGACCCTTCTGAATATCCATCTTCAACTTCTCAAAAATAGCAAATTGTCTAATCTATCCTGAAAGATGAATAGGACAAAAGATGGGAAAAACAAGCCCAGTCAAAAGTGCTTCTAGAGGGCCATCCGGCCGACAAACTTTTTAAGAGAAGAAAGGAACGTCAAGACTGCCGGGAGGTATTGACCACCAAGCGATGCGGCACTGGTCAAAACAGTCATAAAATTAAGAAAGTAAATGAAATGGCTGTCAAACTACATCAGTGAAGCCGAAGATGGTACATTTCGATAAATTAAATTCTAAGTATCGCAAAAAACTGCTACGTCCAAAAAAAAAGGTACCACTCGGACATGAGATAAAACAGGATCAACTAAGGATAGAGGAAGAAAATAACAAGAATCCATCGCCACAAAAAGTAAGATGATTCCAGAAACAAGTAGATCATTACTGGGTAGTCGCTAGGAAAATGATACCAGCTAAGGGGTTTGGCATCCCAAACTGCCAGGATAGTAGGGCTGAAGAAAGAGGCATTGAACACGGCACCAATATGATATCAATTCTGCATTCACCAGCACTGATAAGAAATCAAAAAACTATACAACACAAAATGCCTTCATTGTAAGATTTTTAAAAAAAAAATGAAGAATTTTTATTATTTTAACAACAATCTTCTGTGGGTAAACTGCTATGAAAATGCCAGTTTGGCTGAATGGCCTACTTTGAATTCTAGAAGAAGAAATTCTGAGTGGTATCCTGAACCCCAAAATTTCAAAGACCCTTGGAAAATACAGTCAGTGTAATTTTAGATGGCACTAAGAAATTCTCAAACAGTATCGAAAAAAGCACGTATTCTTCTAAAAATTGTTTTCTTTCCAGGCAATAGCGAAAAAATGAAATTTTTACAAGGAAGCATTTTCTTAGCATTTTCTGAATTTTGAGGATGCAAAGTCAAAACATAGAATTTCAGATTATAAGATGTATGAGAAATTTCTTGTTTCATTATTTTTAATGCCACTTTTCCAGCTTTTTCACGCTTTTTTTCCTCTTCCCTTACATCTCCCCCTCTCCCCCTTCTCCTTCAAGAATGAAATCCTCTGAAATTTGTTCTCATCCACGAAATGTTATTTGTAATATAAACTCACTCTTATTTCCCTTAAAAAGTTATCCTGAAATTTGTCCTTGATAATATAATCATATTTTTAAACACAAAAATCACACAGTTCTAAGTCAACAATTGCATGCTACACCAACAAACAACTGAAAAATACAGAATTTTTTAAAAGTTAAAAAATTCAGGGACATGACCAGGAATTCTCATACACGAATCACCTTCAAAAAATTTCGATACAGAGGGCAAAACTGTTCGCCGCATAGAAAATGTATCATTTTTTGTGCCTGTTACTCTTCAAAAAAAAAAGTCAAAAATATTAAAAAAACTTCGAAAAGTCAGTACTCCCTCTACAGTTTCTGAGAAACGTGGGGGTATTCAAAAGTAGTTCCAGTGTTAGCGCAATGCACCACTCTCTGGCAACGCTACCAGCGGCTTTCTCATCCTAGGGTTGCTTAGAAGTAAGCGAATGGCGATTTTGACTCAACGGCGTATGCAAGTACCAATTTGTCGATGAAACGAACCAGGATATCCATAACAAATCGAACTGCGCAATTAATAATAAATTTTTATCAGTAAGTTATAACTCAAACGTCAACTCCGTATGAACTCTGTGCAAAAGGCGAAGATACTCGTAAGTAATAACCTAAGTGGTAACAACCGCAACAGCAATCGCCCATCGCAGAACTCTCGATCGTTCATTCTTTCGAAGATAAATACCAGGAGTACTAATACCGCCCGGGCAGTCGGATTGATTAATCATTAACACTTAAAAGACTACTTTTCCTATGTAAATTTTTTAAATTTCCAAAAAACGTCTCACTCAAAATTCCTCGCCACACCACTGTTACAGTTTTACTGGCATTTTGGACACCTGCTTATCGTCCCTTCTTTCCATAACAACATTAAACTCGCCCGCTCAAATGTCTTCTTCCCCCTCAAATCTGGGACGTCGATTTTTACAAGCACAAAAACACCAAAATTATAGAAAAAAGAAAATTTTTAAGTGAGTATCACGATGAGGTCGCTGGTGCCACAACGGTTCGCGTCCTTGGCCTTCTGACCAACCGTAGCACCACATCGATTAGCACCAACATAGAGGGAATTATAACCAAGCCATGCACAACGCATAAAAAGATACATAGCACCATCATTCGCACAAAAACCTAAAATTTAAAAACCCACAACTTTGAGATAAGCATCGAACAGGCGCAAAGAAGCTAACAGTTGATAAGAAGCTTTGCTGTTCTCTGGTTAGATTTAAAGCCCGACTCTGACCAGTCCTTCTACGATTCGTTCATTCGTTTCGATGATCATTTGGTGCTAGCATATGCTAAATGGTCAAGACGATTAAGAAGTAGAATGCGATGGGACAAGACTGGCGGCATGCCAATGCTATTACTACTGGACAATTTCTGTTTCTCCGATCACTTCCAAGTGTTTGTGTCCCATAAACGGCTACTAGTTCACTCATACTCACTCATATTACTAGATCACTCATTCATATTCACTCATATTCGGAATGCCTGCTGGCAGTGCAGTCTCATACACAGAATGAAATGTAGAAGGAATTTAACCCCTCCCCTTTTCTTAAATTCAAAAATTTCTAAATAAAAAACGTACCTGTGCCATATAAAGCGGTATAAACAAAAGGCCAAGCACACACAAACTCGTGCTTGCCGATGCTTGCAATGCAGGCAGTGCTACGGACGCAAAACATATCCGTAACTTCTCAGCAACCGTTAATCGACGATCGACACCCGCACCTGGAACAAGACTCATTAGAATACAAGAGTCGTAGGTACAGAAAAAAAAACTCTAACTTTCGTATTTCCTGGAAGCAATGCCTTACTTTTTTCTTGAAATTATAACTGTTTCAGATACACGTGTAATCGCCATAAGATTGCGTTCTGTAGTTCACGTGGCGATGCACTTCCGGGCAAAATTCAAACCATTTTTGGTGCTCAGGATGTAGGCGATTTGATGGGCGTAATATCTTAGCGCTCCATAAATCCCGGAAATACCAGGATTACCTGGACAGTTGATGTAGGGACCCCATTTTAGTGATGTTACTGCGATGATTCCACAGCAAGGCGTAGCTAAGTTATTTCAAGCTTTTAGTTGCTTGTGTCAGTTCTGTTAGCGTCAAATTTCACTTTGCTTATTTTCGTGTCGAAGTACATCGGACAAACGGTGAGTACTAACTGGAGGTGTGCAACCCAAGGTCAAAAGGCCTTGCATGGCTGCTCCGGACTTATGTGAGCATCCCAGTAACATCATTAACATAGATACCTACGCTGACTGCTCCCAACATTACCACTGATAATCTAAAAACTGCATTTAAACTACAGTACCGTATTGGCATTACATAAGCCGCCGAATGTTCCGAGGATCAAATAAATTCTTCTGTGTCATGGTATCTCTGATATTTCTCTGTTCTAATTTGCCGTTTCTTGTAATTGAGATGGAGGTGTAGAAAGGATTCTTTTTTAAATGGATACAAATTTT